GAATACGATCAGAATAAAGTAGAGGCCTATTATTAGGGCATGTTCAATCTCTTTTAGGTTGGATTTGTACCTTCATCCCCAAACTACCAGTCATGGTTCCAGACCTATTGGAGTTGATGATCTCCTAGATCGTTAAGGGGTGTAACCTTCATTCTGTGAACGGTTTACAAGTTCCTAAAACTTGTTGGCGATTCTTTTGCTCTATCTTCTTTCCCTTTGGACACCACTGTACTTTAGTGTATGATCACAGTGGGGTTCAAGTTTGGGGTAATGCTTGAAATATTCCCTACAGTTTTTGGCGACTCCGCTGGGGAGGATTTCTATTTTAATTCCTGAAATTTATTTCGGCAATGATTTAGAATGAGTGGATGAGACTCGAAAAGTTCTAAGTATTTCATGTGCGTAATTTTGATTAACATTATTGTCATATGCATAAAAAAGATCTCATTGGAAAGACCATCCGTAATGAGTTAAAACATAGGATTTTTACACGTAGGAAATTTGAGGAATATCTTTCACAACTAGGACCGAAATAATGCTGCGCGAAACTGGAAAATTTTATCGAGCACAGAAAGTTGCTGAGGCATGTAGGAACTAGCGTCAGGGAACAAAGTCTAGCGCCAAAAATTTGACATTAGCGCTAGGCGACAGCTTCTGTCGCCATGCGCTAAAGCCAAATTGTGGCGCTTGCCTCTGTTTGCGCTAAAGCCAAATTGTGGCGCTTGCCTCTGTTTGCTGGCGCCAAGCTCTTCCAATACCGAGCCAGAAATATGCGTTCTAATTTTGACCAGTTTTTAGCACTGTTTGCTCGATCCTACTTCCTGATTGAGTTTTTCTCACTTTTCTGAAACCCATATGTGTTCTACATATGGACATAACCCTCTGGGAATTCATGCTCCATCTACCTGATTGAACGCTCTGAGTAACAAAGGGTACATCCGAGAATGTTGAATTCACCAAACCATGGAAGCGAGTTTTTCTTAACTTGCAGTGTCCCATCCACTCGCGCCAACCCTTCACGATTAGGCTTCCGCGCGGTGCATCCGGACAATTAACCATGGACCCTCTATTGACTAAACCATATCATGAACTTTAGAGAACTAGAGCCATGGTTTGGTTGCAAACTCATTGCATCATGTCGTGCCTACTTGACTAACTGTGCATTATTGGTTGTGCATACTCTATGTGTTTTTCCTAACCGTTTGTTTGACTTGCGTTAAGGCTAAATAAACTAATTAATGAATAAAAGACTTATCTTAATTAATTAATTTGAGATAATAAATATGTCTAAAATCGAGTCATAGTTCCTTTGTGTCAACCCGGATTTTTTATTCCCGTATACTGCACAAGCGTCTACTTGTTTTGGTCATATCCGGTGTTCTAGGAAGAACTAAGAGTCGTACAACCTATGGATTTGTAGCCCCGAGTTTTATATTTAATTTGGAGTTGGTTTCATCCCAATCAGAGTCACAGATCAAAAGTTATGACTAAAATACCACAGCCTGTCCAGTTTAATACATATACGTGAGGTCTTAATTTAGTCTTTGCTTGAGTCTAGTCATATGGTCTAGCCACATGGTCATGACACGAGTCTTAACATGTCACTTACACTCACTAGTCTTAGCACACACTTTGTGTATATGTCACCATGACCATGTCTTAGGTTCATGCATCTACATCACCTTTCCATTCTACATGATCCCTTCATACCACAACCTTCATTCTTCTTGCCTTCTTCCATCTATGCAGGTTGAATAGAGTTGAGTCAAATAATTAACAATGAATATCCCTAATTTCCCTTTCCACAGTACTTGGTCAAGGAGAGAAGGGCGATTAATCAAGGACAACACCTTTGTTCAAGTCTTACTTTTTGATTCGTCAAAAGAGGAAAGATAAGAAGATAATGGCAATTCAAGAAGAATTCAACGAACTTAGGAATCAATTGACTACCGTGAATGAGGCGTTGAAGGCTTTAGCTCTCAAAATCAATGACCCTGTGAAGCAACAACAAATGGACCTACCTTATGCAAGAAAGCTTGAGCAAGCTATCTAGCGATTACAAGTTCTAGGGCATCAGTTCGCAAGGGGTCTTGGTGGACAAGGAACTTCTTCCGCATAAGTTCAATGCCAACGACATCCCAAAATTCAAGGCAACAAATAATCCTTACCTTCACTTAAGGGCCTTTGAAACTATAATGAACATTAAGGGGATTGATAAGAAAGTCTTTCATTCCTTGTTTTCTTTATCTCTTGAAACCGTTTGCCAACAATGGTTCTTCTCCCTTGACAAAGAGAAAACCCCTACTTGGGATGCTATTGTAAACGCTTTCATTAATATATATAAGTGTAATATTCAAGTCAAAACCGATTATAGACAGCTCGAGGTGCTAAGACAAAAAGAGAATGAAGGCGTTACTTCTTTCTTCAATAAGTGGAGGGAAACTTCCGCTAAGATGATTGAGGTGCCCACCGAAAAAGAGTTTGTGAGGATTTTTATCAAGAACTTACAAGAAAAGTATTCAAAGCACTTAAAATATTGATGAGTGTCATAAGTGCACCCATTTGATGAGCATTTAGGTCGTTTTTATCCTTTTTTCATAGCTTTCTTGCTCAATAAATGTTTAGTTTTATGCTTTCTCTCTCTATTTTACCTTTCTTCTCGTATTTTACGGCTTTTGTGCATTTCCATAGTTTTTCTAGTATTTTCTCCTTTATTTGTTCTATTTTCGTTATTTTAGTTGCTTTTCCTTTATTTTAGATTTTATAGATTTAGTTTTATTTTATTTCATTTTCATTTTCATTTCATTTTCTTTTCAATTTATTATATTTTCTTTCTTTTATTATTTTCATTTTCATTTTATTTCTTTTAATTTTATTTGTTGGTTTTAGTTTTATTTTACTCTATTTGCTCCTCGGTTCGTGTGTGTTTTGTAGGTAGGTGGTTGTTCCAAGTTCAAGTCCTTGCGCTCTCAAGTTGCGCTCTCAAGCCGGGGAGTGTTAAACCCACTAAAAAGGTGTTTTGCTACTGCATACTTTGGTGTTCATCAAGAGCATGTTGCGAGGGTGTTGCTCGTTCCCACCAACAACCTCACCACTCACCTATTTCCTTGTTTCCCCTGTTCCCTGCCTCCCACTCCAAGCAGTAGCCCCGCATTTCCCTTGCTCTAACAACAACCGCAATTGACACCAGCCAACCACCATCACACACCGACCACCACTCACGCACCATCTCCCATGTTCCCGTAATAACCACCAAACCAGCCCTTGCAACAACCAATTGCGCAACCCCTGCTCCACCTTCACATTCCAATTCCGCCACCAATTCAAACACCAACAGCAGCAACAATTCCGCAGCAAACCCACAACCAGAAGCGCAGCCCACTCATCTCCTTCCCCGCATTCACCACCACAATTAGCAGCGATTTCCGGCAGCAGCACCAAGTAGCAACCACCACAAACGCACTCAATTCAGACCTCACTCAACACGGCCGTGCTCGCAACCTTCGCGGCCGCGCTTGCTTCCTTCGCGGCCGCGCGTTTGTGGGTTTGAAGGAGGTGCGTGGCAGGGGATTCAGTTTCGGCCGTTGATCTTAATGAATTTTGTTGATCGGACCTTGACGATGATGATTTGAGGGTGCATGAGAAGCAAGGGATAATTCCCTTTGTTGGAGCAGCTAAAACTGACTCAAGGAGCCGTTTTTCTTTGGATTTTTCTTTGTTTTATTTCCTTTTTATTTCTTAGTTTTCTTTTCCATTTTCTTTTCTTATTTTATTTTATTTCTTTTCTTTTCTTTTTCTTTTCCTTTTCTTTTATTTTCTTTTCTATTGTATTTTCTTTTAATCTTTGTATTTATAAATACCCATTTTTGGGTAGAGAGGGAAACAAGTAGAATTAGAATTAGAATTACAATTAGATATATTTTCTTAGCTTAGTTGAGAGCTTCTCTCTCTAGTTTTTAGGGTTAGTTTTAGGAGTAGATTTTAGAGAGAGAAAGTGAGGAATTTCAATGGTGATTTGAGTGATTGAAGATTCAAGGTGACAATTGTATTGAAGATCATCAAATCAATCAATGAGGATTTCTAACTCAATCTCATTTTATTGCTTTTCTTAGTTAATTCATGTTTGTTTGGTTTGATATTGATATTTGATCTTTGATTAGTGTAATTGTTCTTCATATTTTGTTGATTCTTATTTTCTTTAGTTGTTTGTTGATAGATGATGATGTTTGAGTAGTTGTTTGGCTAGGGATAGGGTGAAGTTTGTATGATTGATTGATTGTGCTCAATTGAGGGAATTGTGTTGATTGATTGTTGAGATTAAAGTGATTAATGGAAGCTTGCATGTGTGTAATTCGATTAGGCCTTGAGAATTATGCTAGATTGCATTGTAGGTTCACATTGATATGGACAATTGATTTGTGGCTTGCATTTACACGATTGAGGTGTCTTGTGACGTTCCTAGCTAGAGTTTATCGTACGTAGTTGACGCTAGTTAGACCTCTAGGAAAATAGCTTGATATGCTCTTTTGGTTGAGCTTACCGTTGGTCTTCACAACCGTTGGTTTGCGCATGTTTCCGGGTTGGTATAATTGTCATGATACTTGTTAATCCTAGTCCCTAGCACTTTATTTCACTACTAGAAAAACAGGAATACACATCGCCTCAAATAGGGTATATAGAGCGCCTCTAAGGCGCTTCTCTGAGGGGGTGCCCTATAAAGTCTACAGAACGCCTGTTTGAGGCGATCTATATCTAATACAATATAGAGCGCCTATCTAAGATAACAACTCTCTATTCCATAAGTAAATCAAATTAAAAACAAGGGAAAGAGAGCGTTCTTGTAAGGATAGGCGCTCTGTAGTTACGTATAAAGAGAACGCCTATCATAGATAGGCGATCTCTTTCCTTACTTTTTTTTTTTTTTTTAAAAAACACATTAATAATAATGATAATAATAACAATAATAATTCATACACAATTACTTAATAAAACAACATAATGAATTACTAATAACAATTTATTAATAAAAAAATTATATACAAGATTACAAGTATTATGATTACAGTAACTAATTTAGGGATAAAAAATTTATATTTCTAGTACAAGTTTAGACAACCACCAAATTAAAAACAGCCACCACTGTCATCAACACCAAACGTCCAAACAATAGCAACACCTTCAAGCACCCCACCACAACAATCGGCGATACAATTACCTCCTTTGCTACTCGTGTTCTAATTTCTTCAATTTAGACAACCACCACTGCAATAACAAGCCGCTAGCATGCAACCAACACCCCTGCTCACCAACGCTCCCACATCAACCACCCCACAAATCAATTCAACACTACAACAACAGCCAACACTGCCAAAAAAAGATGCATAATTATTGTTATTGTTAGTACTCCAATATAATTAGAAAAAAAATTAGAATTACATTAGATCTAAAGATGAAAAATCAGATATTTGAGATTTAAAATTAATTATTGAGAATTAAAATGGAATGTTAAAACGAAAATCTGAAAATTGAATTAGAAAATTATCTAAAACTTTGGATAAAAAATTGAGAAATCGGAAATTATAACATGAAACTTGATTGATAAAAGATGAAAAATCATAAATTATAACATGAAATCAAATACCCACATAGCAACCGCACCAAACACCCACAAATCTAAAATAATTGAGTAGTAAAACAAAATTTTAAAATGAAAATTAAAAAAGGAAAAAAAAAATTATATCAAAACAACCAAAAAATGAATCTGAACAATGAAAGCTTGAATCAAAAAACGAATTTCGACATTGAAATTCGAACACAAATGAAATTAATCTTCATATACCTCGTTTGACGGCTATAGTTCGTAGAAAGATTCAGATCAACCCACCACTAAAAAATCGAGACAATGTGTGCGTTATTAATCTTGATCAAAGCAGAGACAAATGAGGGGGTGATTCAAGGGTTATTGGGGTGATTCAAGAGGCTGCCTTGGTGGTGAACAAGTGTTTTTGGGTTGCCTTTAATTTATTATTGCAGGTTGAAGCCTTAGAGGTGGTATAATTGAGGGATGAAGTTAAAATTAGAGAGTGGAGTTAGGGTTAGTGGAGGAAGATGAGGAATGAAGTAAGAGATTTAGAGAGTGACGGCTAGCTCTCTCAAAGGAGTTAGGGTTAGTGCGGGGCGTGTCTTAGCAGTACATGAAGGGTTTTCTTTTTGTTTTTTTTAAAATTTTTTTTTTAATAATACTTATAGATCGGTTATCTACGAGAGGCGCTCTATAATGTATGGTGTAATTTTTGGGATGTGAAACGGAGCGGTTAACCTTGGTAGGCGAACTATAGGTTCTAACATACAAAACGCTTATCTTACATAGGCGCTCTGTAAAATTCTAGAGATCGCCTATGTAACTTGACAGTTGTGTATTGTGTGTTATTCTCGTTTTTGTGGTAGTGTTTGTTTGGTTTCTTTGTCTTAGTAGTTGTTAGTGTCCTCTTTTATCCTTAGACTTCGACCTAGCTTAGGCACATAATTGAAAGCACTTAGACATTACCGTTCCTTTGGGTTCGACCCTTGACTTACCTCTATACTTGTATTTAGGTTAGTTAAGTGTTTATAAATTTTGTTTGGCTTAGGGAGGATTAGTCCAACGACCTAGTTCACCCCACGTCAAATATCAACACAACTTGAATACTTTCAAGGCCGTTTATGACATCAGAATTGAGATTGAAGACGACCTCGCAAAGCAAAAAGCTACTAACAATAGTAACCACGGTGGCTGGAAAGGAAAGAAGAACAACAATCCTTCTTCTTCCGAAAACGCCCACTCTAGTAACAATGTTAGTACCTTTGACTCAGTGAAGTTTTATCCATGGATAACCAAGGATCTAAGAAGCAACTAAGGAAAGACTTCACCCCCATTGGGATGAGCTACGATACTGCCTTCGATCGACTCCATGCCAAAGGACTCATTACTCCAATTGACCTATTCAAGATCCCGCACCTGAAAAGAGATTGCCTAGTTGGAATCCAGATGAACACTGCAAGTACCATCAAGGTAGGGGTCATGCTACTGAGAGCTGTTGGAAGCTAAAGGAGGCTATCCAACATTTCATTGATAATAACAAGCTTCCCATGCCTCCAGTTAACAAGAAGAGCGAGTGATGATAAAGCAAACAACACAAGACAAGAGGCAAGCTTCAACGACAAGATTTCGTGACCTCTTTTTCTATTTCTTTTCTTATTTACCCTTTCCCCAATAACTCTAGCATAGGCACCTTTTTATTCCCCTTGGATTAATTTTGTAGATTCTTTCTTTTTCCTTTTAATAAAATGAGCATTTATTTTCTTGCATATGATCATTTCATTACATTGCATTAAAAAAATAAATAAATAAAAATCCATGTCAAACTAAGCACAAGGTATACTAATGATTTGAGGCACCCCTTGTAGCCATATCATATTACCTTTAACCCTTCAAATATACAATCCTTTTTTGATAAACCACTTTTAGCCTCGTCTAACGATAGACCTTTCTTCTTCAACCCATATCTACCTAACCTTGGGATGGGATGGTGTGTAACTTATGCAATTCCAAAAGCTTGAGTGATTTCAAAAGATCAAAATAAATAAAATAAGCAAAAAATAAATAAAAGTGTACAAAAAGGGCAAGTGTTCCAATGTCTTTGACATGAATATGTCTTCGATATGAACACGTCTCAGATTGCGTCTCTTATCAAGTGCTCGGTACCGTGCCTGAGAAACATGAATGCCAAGTGAGTGATAGACCGCATGATCGGGATTGCCCACACTTATCAAAAAGGTTCAAAATAAAAAAATGTAAAAGAAAAAAAAAGAAGAGAGCAAAAATAAATAAAGCAAAAAAAAAAAAAAAAAAAAAAAAAACAAAAGATAAAAAGAGAGTTGAACCTCAAGCATGAAAATACAAATATTCCAAAAGCAAAGTTGCACACCTTGGGGGCTTATCTAGAGTCTTGAGCCTTTTATCCCTTTCTTCTTCAACCTTTGGCCTAACCACGTTATAACCCTTAAAAAGACCTTTTTGAGGTATACACACACTTGTGCGAGGTTCGGCTAGAGCTACGTTCGGTCTGATTCCTAACGGATACGTAGGCAACCTCACATCGAGGTGCGGCCGTAATAAAAATGCATTCATATTCACATTCACATTCACACATCATGATCATATCAAGGGATCTCCTATGCTCATCCCTATTCATTTAGAGCTAGACTTGGGGGCTTGATCCCTATATTGTTGGTCTACCTAGCCTAAGAGTCACCATTATTTGACTCTTCTAAAAATAATATCTTTCCACACACTTAGCCTTTACGGCCTAACTTTAGTGTCACTATCACACACTGCACATATACATGACCAAATATACTTTCCCTTAGGAACCCTTTGTCATGAAATCTTAACGTAATGCTGAAGCATGCCTTGTCATGTCAAAATTGCTCATCAATCATCATTGCATCACAAAGTATGAAGTGCTTAGCCTCCGTGCCTAAGTTACCTAAATGCTTCATTATCGAGTCAACTAGGATAGTCTAAGATGTTACAATCCTTGTAGTGTGAGAGACAACATTTGATTAAGCTCATTCAACATGCATCTTCAAAAAACTTCACTTCGATTCTTTTTCGTGTCTTTCTTTTTCGGGAGAAAGTCGGTACCCTCCACAAAAATGAAGGAAAATTTTTGCTTTTTTGCATTTTTGAGTCACTTGATCACAATACAATGCACACACGGTTCATGAGTCACATGTGTCATAACACTTTGAGTCGAGTCAACCTCGAGTCAATCACAGCGAGTCAAGTTCATACCTTGAGTCACGACAAGTCAATGAGTCAAGCAACACTAAGTCTTAGGTCAACCCTAAAGAAAGATAAGCAAAGTCCTATAGTCAAAGATATAAATGCAGGTGCATCCTAGCAAGTGAGGACATTCCCGGATTTTTTTCGAAAAAAACCGCGAATATGACACAGGAGATTCCTCCAAGATAAGAGGAGTTACATGGATCAGTAAATTAGAGATGAAGAACTTTAATTTACAAAAGATTTGAGCGGATTTGGTTGAAAGGAAACGACTAAGTTCAAAGTTCGGAGCAAAATCGAGCAACAACGGTAGCAAGAGCAGAATAGGGAAGACCCGACTCCAGCGCCGGACAACGACATCCAGCGTCTAGCAGTAGATTATAGCGCCTGGCGCTAGATCCCAGCGTCTGGCGATAGAGCCAATTCTTGGCGCCAGAAGAATTTCCGTGGCGATAGAGATCGAAGCCTCATACAACAATTTTGGATTCCTTGGTACGCAAGTTAGCCCCTATAAGCAATTTGACATGATTAAGTAGTCGGCTTGATTACAATCCCAACAAGTGATCAACCTGATGTATGATCGTCTCACTTAGCTTAAAGCTCCTAAGCATTGGCTCAGCAAAGACACCAACACAATGGTTCATACAATTCAAAACATCGACATATTGGTTTAGAAGACACCGACATACCGGTTCAGAAGCACCAACATACTGGTTCATAAACAGCAGAGACACCGACATAATGGTTCACAAGCAGCAAAAGCGCCAACGTACTGGCATAGTGGAAGCAAATTTCAAGCGAGCTTTAATAATCTACAAGCGTTGGTCTTAGGTAGATTTCTTTGGAATATTATTGCAACAACTGAGGTGACTTCAAGAGAGGTTATTTTAGACAGCATTCGCTAAGATTGTGGAGGTTGTCACCAAGATTTGAGAAGATAGCACGAGATGGGCGGTCTTCGACAGCGTTCGCTAAGATTGTGGAGGTTGTCACCAAGATTTGAGAAGATAGCACGAGATGGGCGGTCTTTGACAGCATTCGCTAAGATTGTGAGGTTGTCACCAAGATTTGAGAAGATAGCACGAGATGGGCGGTCTTCGGCGGTATTCGCTAAGATTGTGGAGGTTGTCACCAAGATTCGAGAAGATAGCACGAGATGGGCAGTCTTCGACAGCATTCGCTAAGATTGTGAGGTTGTCACCAAGATTTGAGAAGATAGCACGAGATGGGCGGTCTTCGGCGGTATTCACTAAGATTGTGGAGGTTGTCACAGAGATTTGAGAAGGGCGGTTCGTGATGAGGCGGTCTTCGGCGACTTTTGCTATGATTGGGAAGGTTGTCTATATGATTCAAGAAAAATAAGCTCTTCGTTCAGAGACGCGTGGACATATAAAAAAAAATCTCTATTGTTCAAAGACGAGAGAACATCAAAACAACAAGATGGCGTTCCATAGATTATGGAAGGTTGTCAACCACAACAATGCAACAACAATAAATCGGTTACTTTCAGAGACGTGTGCTCGACGGTGCAAGATACACATTTCTTAACTCTTTTATCTGTTTAACTAATGCTAGTTTTGCAGGTATCGGCGTTACAAGAATGATTTAGGATTGCAGAACGTTCTGAATCATTCTCCGTCCCTATCGATACTTTGACTTTCGTTTTCGAAACTCACGTTTCTCCAAACTCAGTCAAAGTGGGGGCTTCTGTAGACATCCGAATGTGTCTCCCTAAAACCAAACCCAGTGATGAATACCTTTCACGTCATTTGATTATCGAACAAAGAGAAAGTGTGAAAAGTCTAGTGATGAGGATGTTTTTATTAAAATATCTTTTTTTTCTGTTTTTGAAAATATTTCTTTTCACAACTTATTTATGAAAACATGAATTCCAGTTTAGTTTGGTCCATGATAAGGGTTCAATAATAGTATATTTGGATGGGGCTTGAAAAGACCTTTCCAACGATGTATTATAAGCCCAATTCCGATGAATAATGAGGAAGTTATGGCCAAAATACTAAACTGGGCCTGATTTGGTTTTTATATGCGGCCCAATGATATAGAGGAGGGCCTATTATTAATTATCATTCCTAAAGCTATTAGGATTGATTATAGTCTTCTGGAATATTCTAGAAGGTTCTTTTAAATCCTAATGGAGTTAGGATTGATAATTATGTTTCAAAGAGTTTGAAATTGAATAAAACTACTCCTTTTTAGAATCCTTGTTTTGTACGAAGTGGAATATATTCAGATTTTATTTTCGTGTCTCATAATATTTATCCAAATTTTATATGGTTGGATAGATCTTGAAATTATCTTTCCAATGATATATTATAATATTAATTCTGAGCTATAACGGAAAAGATATGAATGAGATACAAAACTCTATCCAAAACTGACACCGTTCCACTATTTCGTCCATATCTTTTTATCTACAAAAGACTTTTTTATCTGATTTCAATTGGTTTGGAAAGTATACTTCAAGATCTTTCCAAAAACATATTACATGCCTTATTTGGACTACCGGATCTAAAGATATGATAAAAAACAAAAAACGCGTGAAACTGATTATTAGCGCCTGACGACAAGCATTAGCGCTTGGCGCTAAGGCTTGGCGCCTGGCGCTAACCTTCAGCGCCTGGCGCTAATGACCAGCGTCCTGCGCTAATCGAGTTTTATTCTCGTCGAAACTCTGATTCG